ATACACTAGGGCGTCCGTAGTGTAGGATAAGCACTGGTAAAAGGTATCAAGAATAGAGTGTCTTGAGGAAATAGCCGGTGTATGGTTATAGCAAGCCTGGGGGGTAAATTTACCACCCGCTTATGCATGCATTAGGTTAGAAATAGGGGTAAACAACTTGTAACGGTGAAGTACAAGTCCTATGCAGCAAGCAGCAGCCAGCAGCAGCAGCAGCAGCAGCAGCAGCAGCAGCAGCAGCAGCCGCCTGCAGCCAGCAGCAACCACCAACCAGCAGCCAGCCAGCAGCACCACGCAGCAGCAGCGCAGCATCAAGCCGCAGCAGCACCGGCAGCAAGCACCACCGGCAGCAAGCAGCAAGCAGCAGCAGCAAGCAGCAAGCAGCAGTAGCAGCGGCGTCGTCAGCCGCAACAAGTAGCAAAGCAGCAGCTACAAAAGCGGCAACCAGCGGCAGCAGCAAGCAGCAGAGCGGCAGCAGCAGCAGCACACTTTACACCAAGCCACCGTTTACACCCAACCAACCACGTTCAACCAACCCCCTACACGGCGCAGCTGGGAGTTGAACCGCGGGGGGGGGGGGTTAGCTTGATATATCAATCTTTAAGGCACGCAGCCCCTCCCACCACAACATTGCTAAAGCAAAGAAGAACTCAGCTAGCATGCTAGCTTTCGTGACCTGTCAAGTGATTGTTTATTTTGCAATGGCCAAGTTTCTTCACCATGACTTTCGTACAAGTAGAACAAGGAATTGGTGAGCAGGTTTTTGTGATCCTGACGACAATACTGTTACTGCATCGACATGCTCCGATCAGTTGTTGAGTGTCCATGCTCATTCGCCATACCAAATGATGATATGAATTGATATGCATGATGGTTTTCCTCTTCAGTCACAAGGATGTTGGCACTATTAATTACGCACTCGAACTTGACACAGAAACCAACACACATCAAAGGACATCAAAAGTGTTTCATGTTCGCATGCGATGCCGTGGCAGTGGACAGGAGCTCAACTTGCTAACTAAAGCTTTTCTCCGTCGCAGCGCAGCTGCTGGGTGTCTCATTCCGACGAATTCAGGACGAAGAGTAATACGCCAAGGAACAGGAAAGTCCACTGAAAGGACTTCCAAGACTTCCGTTTCGCCATGCATGGAGGCAACTGCTTGCTTTTTGGGGGGGCGAGAGGCCGGGTGGTTCTGTTCTTTTTCGCCCCCCAAAAGCGGGAGGCGACCAAACGAAAAGTGACCAGTTGGTTGGAGAAAAAACAATGACAACGCAAAGTCACAGAGTTGCCCAGACTTTGTACATCCAATGAACCAAACGACGGAGCTTTTCGCAGGAGCTTGCTGTCTTGCAGTTTACTAGTAGTGCATTCAAAGGAAGGGCCCATCATTTGGGTATGGCAGACAAGGCTGGCTTGGGAGGGCATGCCAAACACCAGTTTATCAAGAAAACCACACTCTCCCATCTGAAGCGGTGGGGATGGCATCAGCAGCAGTGAAGCTTACTTGAGCCTCAAATTCGCATGCAAAAGCCGGAACAAGTGTCAAATCATTAGTCATTATTTCAGAAATTACCTGATGCTTCAACAATATATCCATCCATCTCCACGTGCTACTTGCGGCCTTGGCCAAAACCAGGATGCGCAAGGTATGATAGTTGAAGGCATGCCTGGTGGGAGCGTTCAGTTTTACTCTCCTGTCCGAACCGAGAGCGGATGCTGAATGCTTGGACGGTGTCCTCTTTTTGATTTGTCCATACCTGGACCCTGGACTCAAAGTACCTTAGAAAATGGGACGTGACCCTAGAATTAGAGAATGGGACATGAACCTATAAAACAAGGTACTTGTACCCATTGTCCGAGGTACGAACTGAGACTCCAGGAAACGACCCATGGTCCAGAGGAACTCTGGGAAACGACCCGAGACGCTCGGAGAGACTCGTCGCCTCATCTCCCCAAAACACCAACTCCCAAACTCTCCATATTTACATAGAGGTGGTTGAAAAGGGGTTGATGTACACCAGGGGTTGTTTGACCCACATGAAACTTGAAATGGACCGAAATGGAAGGCTATCTTCCTCTACAACCCAGCGGTTTTCAGGTTCCATGTGAATCTTCCAGGGCGTAAATCTTCCAGTCCCTGGAGTGTTTTACATACCGAATCATGGTTTGTTGTTCTCCTCATGCCGATGATCTGCGCCGCCGAACACGGAACACAAAACACGTCGCAGAGCGCATCAGTCTTTTCTGTGGGGCGAACACCGTCGCTCTCGCGACGCTGGAAAAATGGGTCAACGTGGACTTGGTTGGAAAGAACACATGTCGCTTCCCATAAAAGAAAGGCCAATGTTTGACTATGATGGACCCCAATAGCATTTTTTTGACAGAAGTTTGCAACAACAGCGACACCGTCTCTCTTTTCTACTCTGGATACGTCCGGATACGTTCACATGCCAAACAAAAGACTGAATATACCAACAATGACCTCAACTTGACCTTTATTTTTGTGCACTCGACGAAAGCTCCTACTATGCTTGGAAAGAAAAACACACTTGGAGTCTGCACCTGCGCTGAGCATTGGCAAAGAAGTTGTTTGATATGTTCGAGGTTCGGCCCATGGTTTGGCAATCCTTCTCTTCATCACTTGCAAGAACCCAGATTCTGCCTGAGGACCCTGATCTATTGACTCTCTTGCGCAGTGGTGTCCAAATTCTGTTTCCAAGCCCTCTCTCAATGATGACCCTATCCAACGAAAACAAGTTCTGGAGTTGATAAACTGTATGAAAGTAGATGAAAACAGCTATCAGAGTAGGCCATTGATACTTTGTTTTCTTCCTTCTTCTCCGAACTGCCACCTGTGACCTCACAAAACAGGGGAAATGTGAAACACAAGAGAAACATGACGAAGTGACTGCAACCATGCAATGAACACATTGGTCCAAAATGGTCCACATGAAACCCATGTCAAACCCCTCCTGTTGGTGACCAACATGTGTCTGTTGTGGTACACATAAGCTGACCTTGACTTGCTCTGCACGCTTGGCAGAACACACAAATGGTCAAGACTAGCAGGTGAAACATGGTTGCTCACAGCGGGAGGAAGACTGGACAACATGTCAACAAACAACTGCCAGTTGGACAACAACAGTTTCACAAACATACATACTGTTCATAGATCTCCTGTTCTCCAGTCTGCACTTATAAAGCATCTTGTTTCTAGTGAACAAAATAACCACAAAAAGTTTTTGGTTTCACCATCTCTGGGCTTGTCCTCTCTGAGTCTTATCCAGCGCGAGTCTTGTCCAGCGCCCCAGTTACGGCGTCCCTCCGCCTAGCATCCAGGGCCTAAGCTCGGGACCCAGCCTGACCCAGCCCAAGCCAAGGAGAAAAAGAGCAAAGCAAAGTCCAGAGACCACAGTTCCTAAAAGCCCAAAACCCAAGCAAGCCACCTCCATCAAAAGGGACACCGGCCCAGGCGAAAAATGAAACGTTGAGGGGAAAGGGACCTCCAATCCAGGAACACAATCATCTCCTTCAAAAAACCCGTTCTCCACAAGAGGTTCAGAAGGAGAGCCAAGAGCCTGTGCGAGGGCTGAGCGCAGTACCAGAAGCAGCTGAGCCTGAGCAAGGCTGTGAAGCAAGGAGGCTCTGAACGAAAGTGTGAGTAAGGCTGTAAACCAAAAGAAGAGAGATTCAGAATAGGCCGGAGAACCTGTCTTCATCTATTCTCTCTCCATACCCAAATCAAGCCCTTCAAAAACAAAATTGAAAAACCATTAAACATAGCTCCTCAATGACATGTTTTGGAATTCCAGCTTTGAGCGTCTTCACCTCGTCTCTCGTGACTCTCCCGCCGAACCGTGCCGAAACACGGAACCACTCGCACTTCGGACCCTTCGGACTTGTTGAACAAAAATCCCATGGAGCCGCCCGATCGCACCGGCGGAATGGGTCGTTCGCAAAGGGAAAACCAACAACTGAGGTGAAATAGCACAAGCTCGCCAATACAAAAGTCATCCCAATGACCGCCTCCTCAGAACTCCCTCAAATTCCAGAACCCCCTTTTTACATCATCCCGGTCGAACACCGTGATTGACATCAACAGTTGCGCAGCAGCTCTTGAAATGAGGCACAGTATGGCGCAGCGGCATATTTGCTTGGGCTCTAAAGTGATGGCAAGCAAAGCCAGTGCCGGTCGATGCTTCAACAAACTCTTTGCTGTCACAAGTCGCGCTTGTCTTGGAGCTGGAAGCCCATCGTTGCCTTCTTGCGTGCTAATGCGGCTTTGAAACCTTATCGAAGGCAATCTGAGTGCTTCCCTCAATCCAAACTACAAAAGGTCAATGCAGTATTGCATGAAATTGCATGAATATGGTGTGGCATGACGGAATTATACAACTCTATCTCGGTAAGCAACTAGCAGGAGCGACTTCTCTTCGAGTCGTTCTTTCAAACTCCCTGAAGCACATGATTTGTCAATGGTTCCTCACTCCGGCCGGCAGCGGATTCCGCAAAGCTGAACCTGACTGGAACATTCTCTTGCGCGTCGGCCTCGATCTAGGCAGTGCGAGAGGTTTGTTATGGTTAACATGTTACAACTTCAGCGAAGGGGAGCTTAGAATGCCATCCAACTGCATAAAACCACCCTTACCAGCATGCCTTTACATCTCCACAGGAAGGCTTGTTCATCAACAGTCAACATGATGCCCTCAGAGCTGTAAGGGCCAACGCGAGGGAGGTGGCCTCACGTCGAATTGCGCCATTCTGAGTGAATGAGTGAGTGAGTGAGACTGCTATGAGGCTAGACTAATTTGTAAGCTTGGTCAAGGCCAATTGGCCCCTCCAGGACCTGCTTTGTAGCCACAACAAAGAAACACTAAGCACGAGCGCGACGCATCCAACCTTCACACCGGCCAATGAAAACCTCGCCGTTGGGCCGCAATCGGCCCTGCGATCCGCTCTGCCATCCGTTCAAACGCAAGTGTCGCATGTGGCACGCGACGCCTTCAGCCGCCGAGTCGGACCCAGCGCGGGTAGCAACCCTGGTCGCAGGTCAAGGAGCAGCCCTGGTCGGTTTTGAGGTTGACCAATGGACACTTGTGCGGAACCAGCGTCAGCGTTGGTGAGAAATCCTTCAACCTGCGAAGCTGGGATGAAGGTTTGGAGCTTGGGTGCTCTACGAAACCGAGGTAGTTGAAGATTGTCCTCCTTCTGAAACTTCTCACTTTGTCACTTCAGCTGCTTGTGGTGTCCGTTGGATCTATAGAAGCATCTTCCGTCTTGACTCACCTAAAACCACTTGACACTGAACCCGTATCTTGGGGCGCTCTGCTGACTGCAGCGACAAGTTCATCGCATGGAGGCTGAAGTCTAACTTGTCTGACTTGCAAGAGAGCGGCTACGAAAACTATCTCAGGAGAGCAGGATCATGGGTGTTTCTTTATTGTTCGTCTGGCAATCGTGGCCTGCACAGAAAAAGGTAGGCTCCATGTTCAAGCAACGCAGCGCATATCTTTCTGTTTCTCTCTCTCTCTCTCTCTTTCAGAATGTGAGTGTATGTGCTTGCTTCCCCTGCAGGAGTCGGTGAACCTTTGGCGTGCTTGAGGATGTTGTTTTCTGCAAACAACCCCAACAAGTGTGACTTGAGACCGTGTCAAAAGAAAGCATGTGTGAATGAAATGGAATGAATGTCTGTCTGCTTCCGGCAAACAAACCACACACAAACTGTGGCATCTTGGCTTCTTCTTTTTGCTCGAGCTTCATCTGACCTGAGAACTCAGGGGATGAGGCCAAACGACCTATAAATAAATACTTCCACATACTTCCTTGTCAAGCGGTCCAAAGGCAAGCGGTCAAAGGTCAAGGATGTCACCTTATTTCTTGGATGGAAATGTTGCTTAGTGGCTGCTGTATTCAGCCAATATTGAACACACCTGTACAGGTTAGATTCTGTTGTTGGCAATTTCCGGCGAGACTGATGCAGGGTCGGCAAACATGACAAAATTACGCTGACCCCAAACGTACAACTTCATGATTATAAGTGGCAAGCACAGGCTCACACCTGGTTTGAACATCCCGCTTGGGTGAGTTTAGTGCCTTTGCAGGCTTTGATTAGTTCATAGACAAATTGTGCACTAGCCCCTGCAACAGTGGAAACCTAAGCAAGAATACTTTCCAGGGAGGCTCGTATCAACCATCGTCCATTTAAATTCGATCATCGTTGACTCGGGCACCTGGCAGCTTGGCAGCTGTGCTTGATGATGAATTACAATGAGCAATACGTATGATGGACTTGATGTTGACCCTCACCTTCAACTGCTGTTGCCCTGACGTTGGATATTGCTCAGGGCCTACTTAGGTGTCACTTTTTGATTTGTAAATACTTATAAGTCATACTTGCGAAAGTTATGTAAGTCTGAAAAAGGACTTACAGAGAATTTACAAAGATTTACAAGGACCACGTTTGGAGACTGCTTTGGCAGCACTTGCAGCGTGTGGAAATTTGCATGCATAAAGCCGTAAAATTCTTGTTTGAAACTACGAAATTATGATATCTATGTAGCCGCACGTTTTCTGGATACATATATATTGTATTTCTTTTGGTCTAAATATGAAACGTATTTGTCAATGTGCACATACCACATCCTGTATATATACTGAAGATTCTTGGGTTTTGCTTTTCATATTTCGGTCATTACCGATTGTCGGTCGTTACCGAAGGTTGACATTGACCGTGGCATTTGGTTTATAGTCAGGGGGTTCGGATTTCAGCTCGAAGGCACCTTCAGATATGGGGGACGAAGAGAAGCCGGTGTCTTTACCCATTGAACAGTACTTTGGCAGTTTTGAGACACATATTTTCCATTTTAAGCACGACTCGAAAAATCACTTGCGGGAACGGTCATTACCGTGGGTCTTGGATTAGGGTCATTACCCAAAACCACCCCATACCACCCCATAACACCCCATACCACCCCATACCACCCCATACCACCCTATACCATCCCTAT